TGGGTGGTAAACGAGACAAAAACAAAGAAGATACTCAGTACAATATTTTTCTTTTGAGAACTACTCCACCCTTAATAGTTACAAAATTAACATGGGCTTCTTTGTATTTGTTTTTAAACAATCAAGACACACACACTCACACATAAAGATGGGACTAAGGGATTTTGCTATGCCTTTTCCAATTTTGAAAAAATATCCAGAATTTGAACATGATACAAGGACGACATCGACATGACATGCAAACAACGAATTCAAACTTGCAGCAATTTACCATATTAAACCGCTTCCATAAAAGTGCCCCCTTCTTGTTTTTAAAACCCACGCAACTGAATGACAAACTAAAAGCAAACGAGTTTGTAAAAGGTAACCCAGGCTCTGCGAAACTCCAGAAACATGGCAGAGAGTCCTGTTGGGGAAAGTCTCGCACTCCCTCTCATATCAACAGAAATGGGATTCTGCCCTACCAGGTATGTTCATTCTGCCCATACATTTATATGAACTGTTCAGACCTTTGTCAAATGATTGCAGTTGTCAACAGCTCCATGGGAGGCAGTAATCACTCACATACCTATTTTGTTATTATCTGCATGCATTCGCAAATGTGTTTCAAGAAAACCTTTGTCACCCATTAGTTGAAAATCATGCACAAGGTGTCGATGATGATGATGTGGACAGCACTGTTGGCAAAGCAAAACAAAATGCAACATACAAGCTACTTTATGGAAAATATTTTATTTAATTTCGTTTGAACACTATTTATACATAAGAAGTTCTAAATGTAATGAAAACAGAAATTTTTAACAGGCCATTAAATATCTATTACTTTTAAATGAACCACGACAAGTATCTTACAAACCTGAGAGAGGCATAATATACAAAGAATCGAGTAGTGTTTTAATTTAGGCACTTTTTAGGTCACTTAAGGATTTCCATTCTAAAGATAAGTTAAGACGAAACACAGACAATCAACACAAGTGTGGTATTTTCTCGTTCAATCACTGGTCTTTCAAACTAAAAAAAAATTCTTAAATTTACACACTTGCGCCTGCATAACGCGCAAGTGAGATATGTTACACTTGTCTCAGCCGTTTCCATCTAAATTTTCCCTAATACCGAAAAAGTAAAACACAGTAGACTTTAACGATCACAATTCACAAAGTCTGCCCCAAAGCTGTTACGAAATGCAACACCAGTTTGTCGTTAGATGCTAGCATAGAATGCCACGATCCACAGTGATAGGCGTTTTTGACACAGGCGCGTGAGGCAAATGTCTGCAGGTCGTCCCGCATTGTGGACACAAACAGTTTGTCGATACATTGTACGTACGGGTCGGCGTCTCTGTGTACGCGCCGTTTAGATTGTCCGTGCTGTAGGTTTTACGCTGCGATTTCGGAGTGTCCGAAGTAACACAGGGAAGCGTTTTACGTTGACTTAAAGGCGTAGATTTCGGCGTTACACTAAGGATTTCGGGTGTCTTTTTGGTGATTTGCGGGAATATAATCGATTTGAAAGAAATCCAGGGATGATCTAGCAATTGTTCTACTGTGGGTCGCTTTCTGAAATGAACCGCCGTGAGTAACTCGAGACTGATTGTCGTGAGACGTACGTACCTGGGGTCTACGACCAAAGCTGTGGTTATAAAGTCAATTGCGGTACTGGAAATGTCTTCAAAAAGGTCCGCATCGAAGGATAAGGCACATTTTGAGATGTTTAGGAAGGTTTGCTGTTTGTCCGAAGCACCAAACGGTGAATATCCGGTAAGTAGAACGTAGGCTAACACTCCTATTGACCATATATCGGTTGCTAATGTGATTGGTTCGTAACTTAATACTTCTGGAGCTACATAATCTGTTGTACCTGTAACAGGGGTGTTAATATGATTCGAACAGCATCTTGGGGTTAGTGTAAAAAAAAAGAAATAGCCACATAAAGACTTTTGGCTGTTATTGGTTACATTAATGCTAACACATCCTATTGGTACATATACAGAGTGTTCCCAAATATGATAGGCTAATTCTTTTGCTTATTTTACGACTAAAAGTTGACACAGGTCCACAAACGCTTTGTTACCTATCTACATTTACAGGATGTTATACTTTAACTGTACATTTGACAATTCAAACCTTTAATTTATAAACAATTTCAAATTCCAACTGTCAAAACTAATAAAAACAAGAGATTAAATAAAGTCAGGGCCTACTGGACCATTTTGAAAATTATACTTTCATTTAGCTAACGACTGAAAATTGATTTTTATTGTTTTATTGATAACCGTAAATCAGAAAATCAAATTCTTATTTTACAATCCACCCCTGGCGCACCAAAAAAAAGTTCAAGGGTAGAGAATTCTCACTACCATTGACATGACTCAGCGTAACTTATATTACAAATTTGAGTAAAATATCTCAACAACTGAAGAAGATAGAAAGAGAAAACTTAAAAAATCTTGACACCCTGTAGATCAGTAATGAAGCGTTTACAGATTTATGTTTATATTAAGTTTTAGTCAGACAAAAGTCAACGAATTAGCTACTTCCGTATTTACATCATATTTACAACACTCTGTATACCAATCACTTGAGTGGGCTACCTTTAATTGCTCTTATATAACTTAAATTTTACTAGTTTAGAACATCCCAGTAGTCCTTGATCGTCATTATTCATTAAATAATTTTTGTTTTTATTGTTGACAGTTGGGACTACCCTGACAAAGCTATTCCACATCTGTGCGGCTTCAGTCCCTAAGTTTATGAAGAATCTCTCCATGTTGCAAATAACTATGGAACTAGCCATCTATTACTATGATACTATTCAAATATGAAACGACTATGGTAGGTACTACAACCATAGTGCTGTATTCAGAAACTACCAAATAAGAACAACTATAGACACTGTAAAAACAGTAGAACTGAGAACTGTAGATAGAGATATTTGTTTATTTATTTTTGCCTTTATTTTTGAGTGGGCGGGGTTTCAGCCAAGGCTGCTCTACCAACCCAACCCACTCTACATTTACAAATATCCATGCCCGAACCTGAATTCGAACCAGGGACCCTTAGCACCACAGTGCAGCTAATATACACTACTATGCTGGTAGGGACTATGGGAACTATAGAGACTATAGAAACTATGGAAGTACAGAAACTGTGAAACAAGGGAAGCTCTAAGACCCATAGAAACTGTGGAAACCATAAAAACTACAAACACAGAAACAGCGGAAACAGTAGAAACTATGACATGCCCTTGGAGAACCCAGAGATAAAGATTGTTGGTTTTATTATGCTGTTACAATGAAAAATATGGTAATTTTCCTCTTTACACTGATCAAGTTTTGACAGTAAGATCCACAATATCAAGAGAAAAGAAGAAGGGTTCTCTGCTCATCCACATACAAGATTCAGTGGAATTATAATAGTAAAGGTATGAAATTATAGATTTTTCAAATAAGTTTGACATTATATTGGATATTCTGAATTCGTGAGCATTCAAGTTAGTTATGTAAGAGCAGGTCCAGGCCATTTGTATTTAGATTGGGTTAATCCTTACTTTTTGGGACCACTTTATATAGCTATTGTTTATTGTTTAACTCTTTTACCTAATATTTCTCTAACTTCAACTCCCTTCTCTAATACCCTGGAAATGCCGAAATCACACAATTTGATATCCTCGCAGCTATTCTCAACGGTTAACAGTAGATTTTGTGGCTTCAGGTCCAGATGTGCAATGTTTCTTTCGTGCAGATACGAGAGGCCTTCGAGTATCTGTCGCATCGCCCTCTTCGCTTCGAGTTCGCCTAGGCATTCGTCGCCCTCCAAAATTCGCTGAAGCTCGCCGCCGGCGGCCAGTTCCAATATTAAAACCATGTCGAAAGTCGTTTCGTATACCTCGTGTAGTCGTACCACTCGTCCGCTCGACTCGCACTGCAAAAGTACGGCAATTTCGTGGTATATCTCCTTAGTTATGTCGGTGGCTCGGCGTCGTTTTTTGATAAATTTCGCCGCGTACGACACGCCCGTCGCCCTGTGATTGGCCCTTCGCACCGCGGCAAATTTACCCCTGAAACAATAAGCACGATTAATTAACAGTATCAAGGTTAAATGACATGATTATTATACAATTCAACGTTCTCTTTGCATAATTCATTACGGAAAAAAGGAGTATAGTCCTAATTAGTTCCAATCTATTGAGTTCAGCTTTGCACAACCAGGAAATAATCGTAACGCGAAACAATAACGAGGATTTAGCGTAAATATGTGAAAATGATCACAGTTACGTGCGGCGATGGGGACATGCAATCGCGTTACATAATTCCTTCGTACGAGATGATCTGTGAAGAAACGGATCGTATGTCAATTAATTGAATTCGTAAGGTAATTTTTATTTAATTTGCACACGTGTTTGAAAGGGGCAGCACTTTACTTTCACTTACATGTCATTGACGAAATTCGTTACGGCAGATCATCGATTTTAATTGGAGTTTATCTTTTGGGTAAGTTTATATGGAGGTAAACTTTGGAAGCTGACTAGTTCAAATTCCGTACCTTGTCGAATTAGACTTGTTGAAGAAGGGTACTCGCAAAGAGAACCATGATAGGCTGGTCAATCTAGGCAGGTTTATACAAGTGAGGTAGAAAAAATTAGTAACAAAGTGATCTCTGCGGAAATGAGTACTTAATAGGGTCCTTAGTAACCCCTCAAAAATCGCACTTTGTCGCATTGGTGGAACTTGGAAAAAATGGCCGCCATCTTGATTTTTTTCGAATTTATTAAATATTTCGTAAAGTATACATTATATCAAAAAAACTCAAGAGACTTTTTTTATGGACAATCAAAAGACACCTATATTAAAAAAAGTTTAAGTCTATTGATCAAAAAACAAAAAAGTTATTGAAATTTATATGATTTGGGGAATTATCACATCTGTGTCGAGACTTAGATGTATTTCAAGAACTTTATGCTGATATAGCAGTTTTAATTAAATCAGGACTTAAAATTATTTTAAATCTGTACCGGTGACCAAAGAAGATTCATGATATTAACCAGTTACGTCACACACTATACAGGGTGGTGACTTGCGTAACGCATCATAGGGATTTCAATGTAAAATTCATAACATGCGATTATTGGCTCCCCAAATTATTTTAGAGCAAAAATGTATTAAGGTTTTTTGTAGGAAAATTTTTTTACGGCAATCAACCGTATTAGTTTTCAATTTTTTGCACAATAAAGACGGAAAATTGGAAAATTAAAACCCCATCTTTTTCAATAATCTGTGATGCCATGGAATTGTATAATAGAAAAACTACGCCAATATCCGTCAGGCCATGGAATGTCTACTATAAAACAAATCAAATTCTCAAACAGTATTACATTTAGAACAGCGAATTCAACATAAAGAAAGACTAAATTACTAAAAACGTTTTCCTAATATAACAATTTACAATAAATGTTCGAATAAGTCACCATTAACTGCAAGACGGTAACCAAGTCGATCATAAAATCCATTTCGATCTGCTGCTAATTGATAACTGGATATCTTTTTGTTTTAGAAAATTCCATGGCATCGCAGGTTATGGGTTTTATTTTTCCAATGTTCCGTCTTTATATGAAAAAATTGAAAACTAATACGGTTGATTGGCGTAAAAAAATGTTTTCTACAAAAAAGCTTAATACATTTTTTGCTTTAAAATAATTTGGGGAGCCAATAATCGTATGTTATGAATTTCACATTTATGCGAATGACTTCAAGGCAAAGCTTAAATTCAGAATTGTGTGTAGCCTCACTACCACCAACCGATTTATTGATGTATTGCTCCATGTGAATTATTTGGATATATTTAATGTAGCAGGTAAGTAGAGGGAAGCAAATAATTGAATGTTTTTATTTTCTTTAGGTTATCGATTTCGAAGCTCACTTCATCATCAGACCTTGCTAAAATATATAAACGATTCTAGTGAACCGATAACCTAAAGAAAATAAAAACATTCAATTATTTGCTCCCTCTACTTACCTGCTACATTAAATCATGAATCTTCTTTGGACACCGGTACAGATTTAAAATAATTTTAAGTCCTGATTTAATTAAAACTGGTATATCTGCATTACGTTTTTGAAATACATCTAAGTCTCGACACAGATGTGAATAATTACCCAATTATTGAGTATTTTACTTTAAAATCGATATTTTCAAAGTTGGGCATACAAAACTGTTTTAACTAATTCAGATATTTACCAAAATTTTAAAAAATTCATATTGCCAAATCATATAAATTTCAATAACTTTTTTGTTTTTTAATCAATAGACTTAAACTTTTTATTATAGGTAACTTTTGATTCTCCATAAGAAAAGCCTCTTGAATTTTTTTGATATAATGTATACTTTACGAAATATTTAATAAATTCGAAAAAAATCAAGATGGCGGTCATTAGTCTTGAGGAATGGATATCACGCGATAAAGTACATCTACTTCCGTCCTCATCTCTATTCGGTTCATGTCTTCAGTTACTTTTCACAGGAAAGCATACTATTGATCTGAAACTTTGGTAATTCGGGTTATTGTAATGGAGTCTGTTTAGCAAAACATATCCCACAGCCGCATCTTTATCTAGGAAGAGATCGATCAGTAAAGATTAATTTAATTCTAATTAAATTCTTTTATGTAAAGTGTACCTTTTGACATTTTTGTATACTTTCCTGGCGTAAGTAGTGGATCAGAATGATAATCAAAATATTTTGAAGGGATACATTCATTCATCAAAAATGTATTAAGTATCCAATAAATCATTAAGATAAGATAGCGTGGACTGGCGCTGACGCCATGGGAGCGTTTCGCAAATATTAGCGATTAGATAAGGGTGTACACACACTGGCGTATTAGTAATAGGTGCCACCTATAAATTAGAACCAACCCAGGTAATGAGTTCTTAGGTATTTTGTTTGTGCTGTTCTAAAATTCTGTAAGCACCTACTAGCACACTGCACAGCCAAACCAATATCTTAAACCTCAATTCTCATAACATCATCCCTTTTTTTCAACAAAAGTCGTTTAGTTTAGTAAATACGTAAATATCCGTTATATTGTCATACACAGTCACAACCCTTTAACGTCTGCAATATAAAACATACTTGTTTATTATCGACTTCCTGGTGCCGCATTTCATATGCTCTGTCGCTGTCGCTATACCCCCATTATTCCAATTCAAGTTCCAACGATATATTTACAACAATATGATAGATAATATTATTAACTGCTAGCGTCATTCAAACAATATTAGCATTGTAATACAAAAATATCTTGGAAGGACATTACAATTGTCAACTATGTTGCGCAAATCTTAAATAATGAGCGTGTCATTTATATGTGGAAAAAATATATCGGATGCCGGGGCGCCTAGTTAGAGCTTATATATGCTACCTACGTTATTGTACTTCGTAAAATTAGAAAAGAATCATGGCTTTTGTCAACGTAAATAGGTCGATTTTAGAACTGTTTTAGAAAAACATGTTGTTATTTTTGTAGTAGGTCGCCCACATAATGAGAATAATGCAGTGGTGCATTTTCAGCATGGACACTTTTGGTAGGTACCTGCTCCAATTTTTAAATTCCCAACGTAAACAATTTAAATGTCTGGTGATCATAAATGCAACTGTAATAGTTATTTATGTATTAAGGGCATAATAGTGATGTTTATATTCTCGAGGGCGACGAGTTAAAAAGCTCGAGGGCCTATGGCCAATTTTATGTTTTGCAAACAGTTTTCTTCGTCAAAAATCGTTTACAAAATAATTCATTATGTTTGATCGAGTATGCGTGGTTCGAATTTGTTAATGTGATTGAAACCATCCAAACGTCAAACGTAATTTTAAATAATTCAATTCATCGTGAATGAGCTAGAAGTTCCAGAAACTATACGAAATAAGGCCAATCTTGTGATTTAGTAGGTATTGACAATTAATAATTGACGTTTCTAATTTTCAATGACCTGCAAATATTTGTTTGTTTTGTCATTAAGTATAAATGAGTTACTATGGTGATACTTAATGCCCTAGGGCATAAAGTGGTACTTTATGCCCGCGTATCACAGATATAAAATGTGCTATGATAGGTTAGTAAGACATAAAATAAAATATTGGAATGGCTGCGCAATGCTAAAATACTGGAAATACATAAACAAATTGCATGGTTTTTTATAAATAAATAAAGCATTAAAATTAAGTAGATATGTAAATATTTTTTCAATGCTTTCATTCGTAACATAAATTTGATAACTCTGACGTAAACTTCGATGATAAGTACGGATTTTTTCGGTTACGTATTTGAATTTTTCATTTTTCATCGACCATGGTCTAATCGTCGAATTTTATCATTTCTTATTTTATTCTGTTTTTCTTTCCATTTTTCAAATTCTGTAGATTACCCAAATTCTTGAGGCCTTCAGATTCTTTATATTCATAGCATTATTCCATTTAATAATAATAATAATGTTTATTTCTAATGAATATAGTATAGAACAAAAAGTAAAAAAAAGTACATTCACATTGGAAACATTTCTTCTTCGTAATTCATATTCTTAAATTCAAATTACTTGAATCCTTCTGTTCGTTGGATTTTTTAATTCCTCTCTTTTGAATCTTCGTTTATATATTTTTAAAATATTCAAACCATTCAACTCTTTAATTCTTTGGTTCTTCAGATGCTAGCACGTTCTTTGCATTTTTCGATTCAAGGTCTTTTCATTTATCGGATTCTGAATATTTTACCGATTATTGGATTTCTCCCGATCCTTTTCTTGAAATTCTTCCGATACACATAAATCTGATTTTCAAGATTATTTCAATGTTTCTGATTTTTTCTAATTCTTTGAGCATGGGATTTTTCAGATTCTTTAGTGTCAGAAATTCTTTAGATTCATCTGAACTGTTTCAAGTTTTCTTCGTTTTCAGATCATCTGTATTTTTTTCGTGTCTTTGCAAAATGTCGCGGCTAAAACTTATAATTGCAGAATTAGTTGTAGCGAACCTGGAGAAGGAAAAGGTAATTGGCCACAGCTAACCAGGTGAAACGGGTCTTTCTGTGAAACAACCACCGAGGTTGGACTAAATTC